GGGGGGGGGGGGGGGGGGGGGGGGGGGGGGGGGGGGGATGGGGGGGGTGCAGGGGGATAAGAGGTAAGAGATGCGGGCAGTGAGAGAGGGATCACAGGGTGGATAGCGGACACTTTTTCTGGGTGGGGTTACCTGTAGTGGGGGTGCTGGAAGTGACAGTGTGGAACCTCTGAAAGAACAGTGAAATGCATTGAGACCGTCATCCCCAGCGGAAGGCAATTTTCTTTTTCTTTCCCTGTCTTTTCACTCACTAACTATCTCCTCTACTTTTTTTCTGTCTAAATTTAGACCGAGCTCAAATCCCCTTCACACTTTCAGCATCTATAGCAACTCCTAACACTCTGGTTTCACACTGTTTCCATCATCCCTCATCACCTCAATCTATTTATCCCAGTAACTTTCTTTCGCCCCCTCTTCAGCTTTAAGGCACTTTCTTTATTTGTCTACATCTCCCTGTCTGTCTCTTCATCCTTTGAAATCCTTCTCTTTTCACCCCCAAAAGTTTATCCATGCCAATTTCTTACCCATCTCCTCCAGTTCTGAAGTCATGGATTTGGATCTTAGTGCGATAGCCGGAGTGCTCAGCCTCTTACTCTGCTGGGGGACTGGAGGGGGGGGGGGGGCAGAAAAAAGGCAGCCATGGTCAGTCAAGCTGTCCAAGAACAAGGGTCAGGTACCACCAGCATTCACCTACGGTAGCACCCCAGGGTGCAGTCGATAGACTCTTACTTTTCTTCCTTGAACCCTCCTCCATGTCGGGATTGCGGGTAACCATGACAACCTTTACCATGAGGCTGTTGCCACCTTGCCGGATCATGTTGACGACCTGTCGGTGACCAACCTTCACCACGTTCTGACCATTGACCTGGTAAAGACAAAGAGACAGTGAGGGACGAAGAATACCATCTTTCATCAACTACATTTTAGTTCTAAATATGCCTGTAACAGCCTGTTAAATATACATATATAAAATATCACATTTATATATATATATATATATATATATATATATATATATATATTTTTTTTTTTTTTTTACAGGCTGTTAGAAGTTTGTATCTCAAAAACCT